TAATGTCTTCATGATGTTTCACCCAGTGAAACTACAAACATTATTGTATCATTGCCAACTAGCTTACATTATTACCAGAGCTATAGCTGTAATGACCATAACATGCATTTCATTTCATAATGTATTAATGACAGTACAGTTTCAAATACTGGAGTGTCAAAATATCATTAGTGAAGCTATGCATCAGAGCTCAGCAGCACAGCTATTTTAATCAACTTGGTTATTAAGCTGTTCTTATCACTGATGAGCAGGAAACACATTTCAGTGTGAAAAAGAACATATACGAGTGTCAGCAATGTTTAATTCAACAATTATTAATTATTATGGTGGGAAAAGGTTTTAATGAGCAAGACTGTAAAAAATAAATAATATTTGCTTTTTTATTTAAGTTTTTTGCCTTCAAAAATGTATAGGAAATGACAATTTTATCATCAATTTGTAAATCTATTTTCACTTATAAAGAAATTGTTATTCCAATTTAATGAATGCTAATGAAAAAGTCATCAGATTGTTTTTGTTTTTTTACAGTAAACAAAAAATTGTTTCTACCTTCTCCTGTACCCTCCTGTAAAGCTGTAGTCTGAAATGCTGCTTTACACTAAACTATTGCTTCAATCCTAAATACTATACAGGAACAATGTCTAGGTAAAACAATCTGTTCACAGACTTAAACGCTGTTAACCAATCTGCTTACAGGATATCCTGTTATGTCTTACATGTCATTCTTCAGTGTAGGGGTGAAAGCGAATTAGGTCTAGACACAAAGAAACAACAAATGACTTTGAACTGGCATAACCTTAGGATTAAAACAGAACGCCACACGGCTGAAGGTAACAAAAGATGCATTAGCCACATACACTGTGCCGTACAATGCATCACCTGCCGTGATAACGGATGAGATGAACACCAATCATCTTCAACTAGGCCTGGGTGGCCAAAACTGTTCAATCCTGATATTGCTACTCTACTAGATGGAATGAAAGGAAGATCAACAAGCGAGTCTCTCCCTCAGAGTTACCTTCAGATGCTTGTGTTTCAATCCCTGCAACACTGAAAGCATATCTGTCATCACGGAGATGATCAGACAGACAACCAGTCTGCTGTTCCACAGTGACGTCAGTGGCAAAGACTTGTGAGAGCTTACCATTAGAAAACACTCTCTGACTGACGTTTTTCAGCCATCATGAATGAAAAGTATGTGAGGGCTGAGTAAATAGTGGATATACATTTATTGAACTTTCCCATGGCTTAGTTTCCACTAATCACTTGTTATGAAAAAGTCTGAGTCTGATCAATAGCAAATGGCAGAATGATGAAATTAGACAAGAATTCTTGATTTGTGCTCCGATCTAAAAAGCAATAACCAAGTAACACGCAATGCTGTAAACCAGCACAATACAAAAAAATACAACATTACAATTGTTTTCTTCTAAACCACTTGTCTATATAAAATGATCAACATTCTCGCTATCTGCAAATGTTTTAGGCTTATTATTGTGTAGCCATTTGGCTCCTGAAATGAGATCTGAGACAGTTTGGATCACATTTATATAAGAAATGCATAATATGCTGTAAGCCACATGACAGGATTATACCAAACATAAGCATGATACTGGTTGATGCAGAATTCAAGATGCCAGCATTGCTAAACAAGCATATCAAGCAACAGAAAAATCGATAAAGAAAGGTAGTACTAAAAACAAGCCTAATATCTGATGTCTGAAGGATTTTTTTAGACACATACATGCACAAAAAGTACATATTTCGCACATAACATGCACAAAAAAGCAGTTCAGGTCAGTGTTGTTATTGTTAACTAAAACTACTAAAAATAGTTTTCGACAATTTAAAGAAAGCTGAAATAAAATAAAATATAAATATTAAATGAAAAACATCTTAAAGTAAAAATTATTAGACATTGCCTTGGCAAATAAATGAAATAAAATAAATTAAAGCTGAAGTACTAAAACTACTAAACCTGAAACAAAATTAAATGAAAGATAAATAGGAACATTAAAGCTAACTAAACTGAGAAAAGCACAAAAATACTGAAAGTTAACTGAAAAATAAAAAATAAAAAGCTAGTGCAGATATAAAACTAGTATAAACATTTTTACAAAAAAATATTACATTAAAAATAAATTAAATAAATTAAAAAATTGTATATAAAAGATATAAAAAAACAAGTATAAAAATAATACTAAAATAAAACAGGTACTCCAATGGTATGAGTAATTCTCTACTATATAGTATGCAAAGTATATATAGTATAGAAAGCAGTTGAGTAATATGCCCGAATATGAGAGATTCACAAAACAGTAGGCAAAAAAAGACCCAGATGAACTACTGCATTTGCTGATATTCAAAACAACCCCTCCCAAAATGCCACAGAAGCTGTCAAAGTCAAAATGTTGCCACAGTAAATGACTTTTCAAGTGCTATAGGCACCATGAAAGTTGCTCATCATGGCTAAATTGCACTTGTTAAGTTAAATACTTTTCACTGTTGATAGGTCAAAAGACATACGGGTCAAAAAACAACACCAACATGACAGATCATGCAGCATTTGTGAATGTATTTATACAACACACCTGCAAACCTACAGAAACATACTTGAGTGCATCCAAATTCTCATACATGCATTGACTGGCCAATGGAAACAGAGTTCTCAAAATTGGAAGCAAAGCACAAAACCGGTCAAAAACCGGACTTCATGACCATAAACCTACACCACACACACATAATTACAAAACCAAACCAATGCAAGCTCATACAGAGTTAACAGAGTATGTAGGCTGAGATGTCTGCTTAAGTATATGGATCATACCAGAAGCAAGTTAGTCCACATAACACGAACATAACTCATACATACCTGTCAGTGACTGTGGACCGTGTGTCGCTCATTGGGCTTTTGTTTTTAGCTTTTATTTGTCCTATATCCTATAGTCATTTTCAGATGCATCAGGCGAAGCATCGGTTTCAGATGTTGCATGAGGCTGCTGCATCCATATTTTGATGTGCTGATCAGGAGGTTCCCTATTTACAAAAAAAAAAAACCATAACATTTATTATAAAAGTTGCACCAAAACAGCAATTAATCCCAATGACTACATACAATCATAAACAACCAATGAGCAGATGACTTTAAATATTAGAAAATATAAAAGCATATAATATGCATTGAAGACCTAAAAGTACTTATACATCATATTTTCCAGAACCAACAAGTTTTTTTTTTTAAACCAATCTGCAAATATCCTGAAGCAACCCAAAGAACATTTGGTTCTTCGAGTAATGGTGCGGTTTACCAAAAAATAATCCTGCAACAATAACATAAACACAAAAACACTCTACCTCTACTGTAATTGCAGTTTGGACATATAAAATAAAACTAAGTATGTTCTGTATACATAAAAACGTTATATAGTTATAAAAACGTTATACTCACTAGTTTTAACAGTATAACGTTAGTAACAAGTCAGGAGGCTTGCACAGATCAGTCAATAATTAAACCAAAATAACTCACAATTTGTGATTTTCCGTTATCGTGCAGCTGTAAATTTACCTTCATATTCAGCAGAAGCTCCCAGGTGAAGACGAATCACTTCCTACTGCTCGAAGTTACAATCCTTTGACAATTAAAACACTTTTGAGCTTCCTAATGCTGAATGTGTGTAACGTTACGTCCACGGCCAACACAGCAGCAGCAATACCGCAAACCCAGACTGCAGACGAGGCCTTGCTATGCTAAAGCTAACAGCAGCCTAATAACGTCCACTCCAAAAATGAGACGCGATATTTTCCCAACAACAATAATAAACAACCGTGTGCATCCACACCAATCCCACAGTCACCCAGACAGGGAAAAAACACACGCGCTCATACACGTGTCACCTCGCGAAGAGTTTCCATGGAGCGGCGACGAAATCGCTTCAGCATCAAAATAAACAAAACCACTCGACAAAGTTCGCGTAGCTCTTCCTAAGTGTTTTTCCAGATGATACCGAGCTCGTATGGAAGCGAGGGTCCACTGTGAAATCAGTTTGGAGGTTGTAGGTTCCGGTCCATCAGACTGGGGAAAGTTGAGATGTGCCGTGTCTCCTGCGGGGTTGCGTCTCAAAACCTAGTGAGCCGCCTGCATGGACAGCATTTCCGATTCAACCCAGTTCACGCCAGCTCGCTCTGCTGAACTGACTCGCAACGTGCACAAAATGCTGTCTAGGTAGACAGGCTCACTGCAATTTGAGAAACTTATAGTTTGGAGTGAAGATTCCAAGTTTCTTTTTCGCGAAGATTCACTCAAACTCTGGAAACGCGTCCAGTCAGTGGAAAATAAAATATTAGGACATGTTAAAAAAAAAAAAAGAGTCTGTGATACAGTTAATGCCGTTTTAGATAGCTTTGAGTAAAGGCTTTTTAGTATTTTGTTCATAATTACATTGAAACGTACTTGTTTTGAATGGAACATTTGTGTATCCATTGTGATTCGGACAAGGCGTTCACTTTTCGCCCATTTTTCCGTCATATTATGTTTTTATTAAAGTAACAGTCGATAATTTTTAGATTTAGTCAGCTGGCTAAATGAGTTTAATTAATCCGTTGGAAAATGTGAGTCAGTCACTGGTTAAATTAAAAAACGTCAAGCCCTAGGGTGCGAAAATCCGTTCAAGTTAGTTTGCCACATGGTGGACGTTCACAAAACTGCAACGCGTTAAAGACGTTTTACTTGAGTTGGACCTTTTACGTACATTATTATATTTTGTTTAGTAATTATACTTTGTATAAGAATAATATGCCGTTTAAGATGCACATATATGTACTTATTTGCAAGAAAAAGAAACAATTGAGTCATGAATCTAAAGAATTTCTTAAAAGATTTCCACCTGAAAACAAAACTTTCATAAAAAATCTTTACAATAAATATATATAAATATTTTAAAACAAAACTGCTTCACCGCTTTTTAAAAGAAATAATAAAACAGTATGCAAAATCACTTCCAAATCACCAGTTGTAACCTTTTAATAGCACTTTTGTTTTTTACAATCGCTTAACAGTTAAACCACCTAGACCTCGATTTCGGTTATTAAACCCCAATATCTTAATGATTTGTAATTCAGAATTTGATCACATTAATCAGAAGAGGTGTATTAAATTCACAATGACTTTGAATCAACTTTTAATACATGTTTCCTTGATCAATTGCAACATTACAACATCCTAAAATACATTATTGTAATGATGATGATGATGTTTATTGATTTATCAACTGGTGTGGTCAAATCACCATAACAGATAAATAACTGATGCAAACAGCCTGTAAGTCATCACTCAGTCTCAATTTAAAAATGGTTACATTTCAAAGACAAGATTTACTTTTTCATTCAAGTCATTAATCACACACAAATCATTCAGTAATCTTCCAGAAACATTTAGTAGTGTTTCATGATCATTTCTGAATATTGCACGTACTAAAAGTTTAATGGAAAAAAATGTAAAAGCAACATCGCTAATTAAAATTTATAACAAGTAGTGTTCCTAATTACAAAAATATCAAATATTTCCAGTACTTAAAAGAGTTTAAACACTTCATTCCTTATGAGTACAAATATATCAAATTAGATTTGATTGTAAGAATTCTGAGTTAATCATAATGGCAAATAATAAAAAACCATTAAGACTGTTTAAGGGCTCTGATACAGAATGGATGTTTTCCCATGTGTATATTACCAACCAGAAATAAACTTTAATGGCTGATATCCTTTTAAAAAATATGTAAACATCTATTAGCTGCAGAGCTTTATTAGCTGGTACACTTGTTCTGATTCTCATTCTTCTCTCCGGTGTTCGAAACGAGAGGCCAAACCGCTGATCTGAGAGATCTTTCAGTCTCTCTTCACATCCTGCCCGTTGACCTCTGCCATCCTGTGACGATTCATCCAGCCCTGGTATTTGAGCTGGGATTTGCGGTATGCGAAGCGGCCGATGTCAACCATGAACACCCAGGACAGCGCGTACATGGCCACACCGCCACCTTTCATGATAAACTTGGGTCTCGGAGAGATCAGCTCACAGTACAACATGGTGCCGCCGACGAAAATGCGCATGAACACAAACAACAGCACGAATAGAACATCCACCACATCTCCGAGGAAGCTGTCATAACGGCCGGAGTGTTTCAAAAACCAGCGCGTCTGAAGGAGGGGGTTTGTGATCTCGCTGCCAAACAGCACGGCGCAAGACTCGATGCCCGACTCCCCCAGCCACAGAGTGAGCAGAATACCCAGGATGCTCATGGTGTGGTGGGCAAGCATCACCAGGCCCTCTGTGCGGAAGTACACACACCAGGCCATGTCAAAGATAAAGTAGCCCAGACTGACCACCATAGCGGTGATCTGCAGAGGGGTGTTCTTTGTACCTGCAAATGATATATGGTAAAAAATTAGCATTTGTCAGGAAAAAAGACAATATGGCAATGCTAATAAGACAACATTATATATTAGGGGTGTGCGACATGTCTGCGATAATATTGGGTTGTTTTAATGGGTTAATTTGCAGCTGGCAAGATAGGATTTTGATAAAAGCTGGCTGTCTATGTAGTAGAAACTATGTCTATGTAGCTTTTTTTTTTACGAAAACAACAGAGAAAAAGGCTGTGGTGAAGAAAGGTCGGAAAAATGTATCACCCATAATGCACTGGGCTCAATCAGACTATCCATGAGCGGGAATTCAAAAATGTGGAAGTACGGTCTGTAGTTTTCACAAAAGTCCTGGATTTGTCAAGTCCTTTGGATGATGCTTTTTTCATCATCTGGCAGACTTTTGCTGTCAAAATGATGATATCTTTGTGTAGGTAACACAGAAAAAACTTTTTCATTTTTCATGTACTTGTACTACCGACAGTACAAAGCTTTTAGCGAAATCGGCGAAATAACCCTTTGACAATGTGTGAGCTGATATTATTGAGTATTTCATTCACTTTGCAAAAACCAAACAAAAGCACCCCCAAATATCAGCATGTTTGCAAATGTGATATTGATTTTATACAACAGTGCAATAAACAAGATGTTAATATTATGTGAGTTTCATTTAGACATAATTTATATTTTTATTACATTTTTATATTTATATTACATTTATAGACATAATATTGTCTGTTTTGGCTCCATTTCACCAACAAAAATAGTTTTAAACACAAATCGTTAAGAAACAGACACTCGTGTCTTGTTACTGATGTGACGGTTCCCGTTGGAATTTGGGTGATTTGTAGCTCCGCCTACGACACGCCTTAATCTGTAGTCCATTGCCTACACCTGCCGCTGTGGTTCAGACGCTCCTTTAAAAACTGATGTTAGTAGAGACAAAGGGTCTTGGACTTGGGATATTGGGTTGTGTTTGGTTTGATTTGTATTGGTTTGAGCACTTTTACATGGCTACAACAGCACATTACACTAGCAGCCAGGCACCCCGCTTTACACACTTATGGCTAACGTATTCAGAAACATTATCTTTTCTGTTGTGTTTTCTTTATTATAGTGATTTACTTGAGCTTAATAAAGCCTTTTCCTATTGAGCCTTATGATTTCGTGTGTCCCTCCTTTTGTTGCTTCCCTTTGAGCCAGGGGTTGTAACACTGACTGAATCGGCATTTAGAACAAATCAGTTGAGTGAATAATTCAATGACTCATTCATAAACAGCTGCTTTGCCACTTGCTTTGTTTCTTAATAAATCAGCCAGCTGAACGAAGATAAGAATTGGAAGATGTGAGTCAGTGACTCACTCGTTAAGACAATTCCTGCATCTGAAACTCAGAATATGCCTACTTCCCTACTACATAAGAGCGAAAAACAACACATGAGAAGAGCAGTATGTCCAAATTCATAATATTAATAAAACAGTAGGCGAGATGACTTACAACTTCAACTGAGATTCCATAATGCGAAAGAGTTGTAAATGGCAGTGAAATGGCGCAACTGACATCGTAAGTCGTTTTACTGTCGCAAACTTATCAAATGTAGTACCTATTTTGGACACAGCAACTGAATTGCCACCAACTACTGGTGGTTTTAGTTTTATATATATATTTTTTTTTCATATTTTAATATTCAAAATTTCGCATTTGAAAAACTAATCTTTTAGCATTAATTATGCAATTGCAATCATTAAATAGTCTCTAAATATCATACACCCCTATTATATATATTAGCATTAAGTACATCTTGCCTGGGTAGGTGAAAGGCCACGGTCCATCTATGTATCCAATGTAAGCAGTTATACAGACTGCAAGGATGCCATGGAATAGTGTAACTAGCCGACAGTTCCATTCATAGCCACAAGAGCCATTTGTGTAGCACAGCAAAGCATAAAGAGCAATCCACCCAGCTAAGCACACTCCGACTGCCAGCACCAACGGCGACATCTTTATTCTGTGAACCTAATCAAATACAATGAGCTGTCACATTCACAAAACACTTTATCATGTTAGATTGCATGCATGCATTCATGAGAGTACTTACGTGAAGCACCACAGCACTTGAGTGACTGTCTAAAAAATGACACTTTTCCTTTGATTCTAATGTGGAATAAGCGCTAAAACCACTCGAGTATGTCTGAAGGGCTAGCAGTGGATTTCACATTAACAATTGAGAAATACAAGAGTCTGGCTTGTATCTGGGTGTGTCAAAAGTAGCCCAAAAGTTACTGTGGCAACCTTATCCACACAGCTCTTAATCCTAATGTTGTCCGAACCTCGGATGTAAAGCAGCTGATGTTGAACTAGGTCAGTACTAGGTTACTTTATTTTAACATATATATCCAGACACTGATATAGCCTGTATGCAAGTTTGAGAACTGAGAAAGCGTTCTTATTCATAGCAGGTTTAATAAGAAATAATTGATCAAATAAACACTCAAAAGTTACTGTGGCAACCTTATCCACAGCTCTTTATCCTAATGTTGGCCGAACCTTGGAAATAAAGCAGTTTAGTGTCAATATTAGGTTATTTTATTAAACATATATATCAAAATACTGATATAGGTTTGGGAAATGAGAAAGGATTCTAATTCTTATACATACAGCTCTTTATACTAATGTTGTCTTAACTATGGAAGTGAAGCAGTTGAACTATGTAAATATTAGGTTATTTTACCAAACATACATCAGGATACTGATATGTAGGTTTTGGAACTGCGAAAGGGTTCTTATTCATATTTTTAACGGATTCAGTAAAAAATAGTAAAATTAATTATTAAAATAAATACAATATAAGCATTTTAACTAAAATTAATTAATTTAAAACATGCTCCTGCTTCAAGCTAAATTATGCAATGAAAACAAAAAAATTGTCATTTTCAATCACATGAGCCAGACCGCTTTTGGTTAATCAAAAACATACAATACGAACCGTGTAGTTTGATTAATTTTTGGTTAATCAAAAACACAAAGCAAACTGTGTAACTTAGTCTGATTCATTAGCAATTAGCAAAAGAAACAGATGAATAAAAACAAATGTTACCAACGTTTGTGTTTATTATTTTTCTATAATATATATGTAGAGTCAAATGTTGCACTGCATTTATATCACTTCTAAAAAAGTAAAATAAATAAAAAATGTTTTTCTGTTTTCTATTATCTGTTTTGTTGGAATATGAAATTACCTGACCATTTGGCTTTTTTTTTTTCAGATGCATTCATTAAAAGTGCTACTAAAAGCATCGTTAATAGAACAGTTTAGGAATCGTTCAATTTCTTACGATTCCCATCCCTACTGTTGCCAAAGAGTCATAGTTTATATATATATATATATACATTGTCAGTGAACAAGTGAGTAACTAACTCTTTATTCAATAATAACATCTCCGATGAATAATGTTTCATATATAATATTAAATTAACATAATAATGCTTATATTAGGTAGAGTACTCTAAAATAATTATAAATTGCAAGATAATTTGATTCAAGTACACTACTATTCAAAAGTGGAGGTTATGGTAAAAAAAAATATTTACAAAAGTCTCTTATGCTCCCCAAGGCTGTATTTATTTAATGAAAATACAGCAAAACATTAATAATGTGAAATATTATTACAATTTAAAATATATGTTTTCTACTTCAATGTATTTTAAAATGTAATTTATTCCTGATATAGCAAAGCTGAATTTTCAGCATCATTACTCCAGTCTTGTGTCACATGATCCTCCAGAAATCATTCTCATATGCTGATTTGATGCTGAAAAAACATTTCCTATTAATATCAATGTTGAAAACAGTTGTGCTGCTTGCTTTGAACTGTAGTGTATAACAAAACATTATATAATGCTTAAAGTTATTTATAAAATGTTAAACATATAGGTAGGTTTGACACCATCACAATGTTGCAGCTCTGCAAAGTCTTTTAAAAACAACTTTGTTTTTCTAACTGTAAAAAAGACGCAGGTTATAAAAGACAGTTTGCTGAAGGAGCTTTTATTTCAAATGACTTCATATTATGCTCATATTCATTTTCATAGGAAAATAGTTTCGATACTTTATTCATACCAGCTTTATCTGTAAAAAGAATCAGTAAACACTGAATCACCAAGGCACTTGTATCCCAGACAATGGCTGTTGTTTGGGGAGGTGTAATCTCAAAAAACACTTTTAACATAACACTTAAACTCTCTGAAACAAAATTAAATAAATCCGTATAAACATTTTAGTACCATTAACGACAACCGAATCACCTGTAGCATGTTAAACGCGAACATTCACATGTTAAGAGAGGCGAGTCGTGAGTTGAAGGTGAATGTAGTGAAATGAGAAACAATAGAACGGTTTCTCTTCTTCATGGTAGAGCTCAGTCTGCGGATTTGGTCCTGTTAAATGAAAGTGATTTCTTCTAGTACGTCTGATACCACACAAAAGGATGTGAATCCGTATTTGTGATGGTTTCACAGCTCTGCTGATGTTCTGAGGTCATGCTGATAGGAGGAGCCTGAGTGACAGTAATGCTGCAAAACCAGAAGATGGCAGTGTTGGATGCACAGATTTCATCAGCCTGATGCCTTTCTCAGTACTTTCTATCCCTCAGAACATACACTTACTTTGGTTTCCTCACTTCACTTTTGAAGTATTGTCTGTTCCCAACTAATCAGAGGCCATACTTCAAACTGTATTGATCCAACTGGTCCTTAAATGATACTGTTGTGCAAGTCCATCCTTATCAAAATGAAAACACACACTCCCAAAGAATCCCAGCATTAAGACTTGAGGTGAGATAATTCACATGATTGAATCGGTCTGAATTAAAAGTGATCAATGATTGATTGATTAATAGCGTTTTCTGTCTGCACCAATATTAATCAAAGCATGTATATGTTCACCACAGTGCTTTGAATCTAACAGTCAAAATACACAACTAAAAAGAGCGAGAGAAAAAAGGCATTTTCTCTGAACGTGTGCGCTGTGCTTAAGTGTCTTCAATCGTATCCCACTGCCAAATAAATAATACCAGTTTCAGAAAAAAAAAGAAAATTGGCAACCTGACGAGATCCAGCTAATTTTAAGATTACACCTTGTTATATAGAGACTAATTCACAGGTTGCTCGTCCCAGACTCAATTGGGTCTCAATTCCATTCCATAGTGCTGGTACGAGCAGGAAGAGCTTTAAAACTACTGACCTCAAAACTTGAGCAAACTGCTCAAATCACACTCCATCCACACCCATCCAGCATAATTTCTGCTCTGTGCATAAGGCACGAGTCTGAAGGCTTGGAGGTGGTGAAGGTCACATTAAATATGTTTTTGCAGAAGCATATGTGGTTCTAGGTCTCTTCCTCCCATAGGCACAGCTGTTTGTGGGGCACATAGTAAGTAAACTGGTAGCCTTTGCTGCAGCTCTTGATGCCGCATTTATACGGGCTGCCCTTGCCAGAGACGTCTCTGTTGCGGCAGTACTTCAGCAGGCAGGGGTACCATTCCAGTCTGAGGTTGTAGCTACAGGAGCACGGCTGCCACAGGTCCTTCACTGTCCCGCAGCTCTGCAGGCCTGGCACCTCCATGGCTTGAGGCTCGAACATGGAGCCCTCCATGCCTGAAGAATCGGAAAAATCATTTATTATAGTTAACGATCATCAAGCTTCAAGCTATGTAGGTCAGTGAAGCGTTACAAATGCAGATGTGTTCCAATTAAAACAGTAATGCTGGGAAAATCTGTACTGGGACTAACTACATTAAATTGATGTGGAAAAGAGTTGGATAAAGCTCAAACTTTTTTTTTTATTATTGTTTTACTGTCGCCATGTCTATAATGATAGTTAAACATGATAATTCAAGTAAAGAGCCTCATTATTTAATATTAGTATTTAACCCAATTAAACCATAAAATTAATTAAAAATAGAAATATTTTACAAATATAGCCTAAATATACTTTTAAAAATCACATTATTTTTCACTCTATATTCGAGATACCATAATTCATTTTAATTATTCATAATAATTTCATTTATATTTTTATATGATATTAATAGACATAATAGATATAGAGAGACAGAGGTTATATCGGGCGAGTACTGGAAAAAGTGGTATCGGTGCATCCCTAATTGCAATTATTAAAAATCACATCACTTTTAATTATAAAAATGTTCTTGATGCATCATTTATTTTATTCTTACTAATATCATTTATATATTTGTTATATATTTTATATGAAATATGTTTAGTCTGCTCTTTAATTATTAAAATCACATAACTTCTTTTTATATATATAAAATATATATTTATATTATACAAACATATCATTTTTGTATTGAAAAGTTGGTCAAACTTTATTTAAGGTCCAATTCTCGCTATTTACAAATCATTAACTACAACTTTTGCCTCAAACTCCTAATTTGCTGCTTATTAATAGTTAGTTAGGTAGTTGTTAAGTTTAGGTATTGGGTAGGATTAGGGATGTAGAATATGGTCATGCAGAATGTGCTTTATAAGTACTAATAAACAGCCAATATGTTAATAATAGGCATTCTAATAAGCAACTAGTTAATAGTGAGAATTGGTCCCTATACTAAAGTGTTACTGAAATGTTTTGTCTAAATGTTCTATATGTTCAATATTATTCATACATATATACAAATACATATTTACATATACAATATATAAACACATTTAAAATATATTTATACACATTTATATTCATATTCATTTATAACCTGGTTTCATCCTTTCTTGGCATCAAAACTTGCAGAATTTAATCAATGTTTCAAAGACTATCATTTCAATCATGAAAATACACTTTTGTTGGTATCTTTAATTCACCATTAAAGCCTGATGTGTCAAATGATACATGATCTACAGTGTGCATTCTTTAAATTATTATTAATTTACTTTTTACATATTTTGTCTAAAGGTTATTGTGGGACTATTATTTCATACATCAGGCTACAGAGGGTTAATAAGTGAAGTGCACTATGTCAGCGATATGCTGGGTTTGGTAGGGTGTAATTAAGGGACGCAGTAAGCATGCTTGCCTCTGTCCAGCCAGTGTCTGACATCAGCCTCGCGCGTGTACACGGCCTCGCGGGCGACGCTGCACATGTTGTGGATGTGGGCGCTCAGCTGCCACGTCCGTGTCAAATTAACTGCTACGTTCATGCTCAGCATCTCCGTGCTTCTCTTCTCTTCCGCCGTGCGGATAGCCTGGGGATTTTTCTGTAATACAAAAAGGAAGATTTTAGTATTAGTCCTGTCGTTCTTTAAAGCTAGATGTTTCCAGTCTTTTCTCACACCTTTCATTCATATTCACACATCTAAGACCTTGGCCGCCCTCCCAGGAACTACTCATCAAAGGCCTTTTACAGCCTTGTTCCTCTGAGATGTCCCATTTAAAACATCACACTCATACGCAACACAGTTAACCCATGAGCTCAACTCTAACACCCAGCATCTGCTTGTTTTGCCTCTGAGGGAGCCTGGGAGCAATGGACTGACCTGTCGGAGTCTGGCCATGGACTCGCTGGGGATGATCTCATTGTGGTTGAGCCGTGTGATGAAGCAGAGCGCCTGGTACTGGCTCTGCCCTCTCTCCAGCTCTCCCAGGATCAGCGCCCGGAAGATCTTCACATCCTGCGAAGAAAAACAT